CTAGGGAATGATTTTTTTTGCATGGTATTCTAAATTTTGTAATTTTGCTATAGCGATAATAATATATAGTAACAGTACAATTTTAGAAACCATCTCCAGAAATTCAAGGTTTGGTTGGGTGATATTGTTACAAAATTTATTATTATTATACGCTAGACCAGCTGTCAGTCAAGTTTCGCTTCAACAAATGATGTTACAACGAATTGTAATTAAATTCATATTACAACGAATCTTTAAAATCTTTGCTTCACATGTAAAATTTGAAACACAATTAATAATTTTGGTATAACAAATTTCGGACGCAATTTTCCTATGTATCATCCCATAGATTCGTTGATCAAACACGATACCTTTACTCTCGCTCATTCTCTTCCTTCTCACTCTAATTAATCATATTAACTGTTAAGAATTTAATCCGCAGAATTGACACAGAAAACTTTCAAATTTTTTTTTTCGTTGAAAATTAATTTACCATTTTGAAAAGGAAAAAAATATAATTTAAAAAAAAAGATACTTACTAAATCTCTATGTATATCATCATTATGAAGACACAATACAGCACTTGAGATTTGTTTAGCAAATTTTAATTTTAGATTTTATTAAAATTTCCTGATAAATAATGAGATAGGGTGCCATTATTTGCATACCCCATGACCAGCATATATGTACCTAAAACAAAAATTTTTAATAAAAATTAAAACCCCATCACTTGAGATAAAAATACTTTTTTACCATTTTTGGTTATGCCATAGAAGCCTATAATATTCTTATGCATTTCAACTTGTCGATGTAGTTGAAGCTAAAAAGAAGACATAAAGATTAATAAATTCATATTCAATAAAGATAATTGAAGGTAAAAATAGACAGATAGTAGCTATTACCTCATTTATAATCTGTTCAGATGCTTGTTCAGAAGCGAGGCCTCTTTCCAATGATTTCAAAATCATGTGTTTCTCATGGTTAGAATTATATGCTTTATAAACTGTTCCAAATGAACCACCTCCAATTTCACGAACATCACTAAATACTTTATATTGATGAAATTTCAAATGTCTATTTTTAATTGCTTCATCAATCCATTCGTTCATTTTTTTTAACAAAAGAAAACAAATTTGTGTGATGAAGTTTAATTTAACTTTATTACACCAGGGATGAAAACAAATACTGTGGCGGAAAGTGATAACAGTGATGAAACAATAGAAAGTGGTGAAAGTGATAATAATATTAAAGATGATATTAAATAGTTATTTTTGTATTTTTTTTAGATACTATATATGTATATTCTAAATCTTATTTTTTTTTTTTAAACAATAAAACTTTTTTTTAATATGCACATGAAATTTTGCAATCAACAATTAATATGAAGTGTCTTACGCAGTTTCAAATATGCTTTATTTTAATGGCAGTTTAAATATATAGAATTTCTATTTTTTACAAACAATCATAAAAGCATAGAATAGTTTTTTAATGTACCCACCCATATTCCATCAATGATTGTAATATCCATATTATCAATTTAAAATACATTCAGGTGCCAATTAGGTTCTCTTTTATCATGTATAAAAGAAAAAGTGGACCAATTCCTTTCAGAAGCAAGCCGATGAAGTAGGAGCTGAAATTATAAATTATGTCAGTTTAACAGAATGAATATAACTTGGTAAAGATTAAAAATTCACAATTTTTTTTTTTAAATAGAATTATCTACATGATTTGAGAAAAAATCATGCACCATCATGTCTCTAGTTATGACCCAGATTGTTAATGTTATAGGCTGCGAATAAATTGGAGAAAACCTCCAAATTTTTCGCATTTTATTACACTAAACTATATTAATTTTTAGATTATTTTTCAAGATTTACTTTATTCACATATATATTAATATTAATATTCTGTGGCACCAAAAGAATAATACCTTTTCATGAAAAAGGTTGATGACTAGCAGTTTAATTAGCAATTTTACAAATCTGCATTTCCAACAGGAAAAGTCATTGTGAATTGTTCCATGATCCTCTCTGATGGTTGGTGGTCCAACCACTAATCATTAGTTAGGAAACACCCCCGTTTGATTGTTCTATGTTGCTTGTAGGATGCCTCAAGTGGTATAGTTGTAAATATTTCTTGTATATATTTTACTATCTTAGGCTTGTGCCAGCAGTACTTAGCATTAGTACTATAGAGAAAGAATTGTGCAATAGAGTTAACTTGGGAAGGCTCCTAGCTGTGTGCAGATATAGAGGCCTAGTGAGAGAATTGAGTATTAAGAGCTCCTAGCTGTGTGCAGATACAGAGAAAATCTATATATTATTGGACTTTTATATTTCTTTCATCTTATATATTTATTGGACATGTCCCAAGCTGTATTTGAAATTACATGCTTGCAATAGTAATTTAATGATTTTACTAAATGGTCTATATTCAAGATTTTAATTTTGAAAAAGCATATGAACATTGGACAAATAAAAAAGAAAGAATAAATAGCTAGTTATTCAATATAAATTTTAATTTATAAATTTTTTTTTTGTTAAATTATTTTTCACTAAAAATTTTTTTTCACAAATATTCTCTTAATGAGCTAAATTATTTTATTGTATTTTTTATTACCTCCTTCCCCCAAATAAAATTACATCACATCTATTATTTCCTTATCTGGCTGATTGATTAATTTGTCAATTAAAAAAATTTATTCATTTGGTCAAAAAGTGACATTATTACAAGGAAAATTATATTTTTGTCTAAGACAGGACAGTCCATGTCCATGTCCATGCCTGTGTCTGCTAACAACACTGATTATATAATATAAATACAAATAAGAAATGAAAGTGTGAATATAATAATTAAGTAATCTACATAATATCACAGTAAATATATATTTACATTTAGATTGATAATATTTTAACAAAGTTGTTTATATAGTTTTCAGGGTTCTGTCTACTCTAAAAAATCCAAGATTTTATCAAATTTTGTTTGTAGTGAATCAGTGTCAGTAGATTCTGTCAAAATAATGGGATGACTGAAAGAATTACTGTCTTCATTTTTTGGTTGCTTGTCATTTTCCTCATTATCAGCTATATTTGAGCCTGAAATCATTCCAATAAGCATTTTTTTCAACATATTGAATATCAGGCCTGTTTTTTGGGTCATCCTGCCAACATGCTAGATACAAGTAAATTATCAACAAAAATTTAATGCATATAAATATATAGTTTTTAAATATATATTATAGATTTTTTACCATTGTATAAATTAACATATTTATCAGGTGTATTAGGAATAGGTTCCTCACGAATTCCTCCAAATATTGAAGCATAAATTTGATATGAATCCAGATTACTAAAGGGTGGATAGCCACTAGTCAATTCCCATAATAAAACACCCACACTGTATACATCTGATTTTTTGTTTGGTTTATATACTTGCTTGATACATTGTGGGTCAACATAAGGCAGCACCCCTGCCAATTTGAATGTTGAAGTGGTTGTAGATTCAAGTATTTTACGGGAAAGTCCAAAATCTGCCAATTTTATGGTTTTTTGGTGAACCAAGAGATTGTTTGAATGCTTCTCAAAAAGATAAACATTATTAAACATAGTTTTTTTTTTTAAAATAATAAATTCATGTAATATGCAATTATTTAATTACCAAATCTCGGTGGATAATATTGTTTTCATGTAGACATGAAACAGCTGATGCAATTTCATATGCAAATTTCAGTTTTAGATCCCAACTGATTAATTCAAACTTTTCTTGTAGATAACTTTTTAGTGTTCCACTATCTGCATACTCAAGGACCAATAAATATTTCTCATTTCCTTTATATATAAATATAAACATTAGTTAATGGAAAAAAAATCAAAATAGGAAAAAATTTAACATACTTTCATTCTTAGTGACACCATAGAAATGAATAATATTTTGATGGTAATCAACTTTACGTAATAATCTCAACTAATTGAGCCAATTATTATCATTAGTTGAAAGTTTTTTTTTTAATCTATAATAAAAAATTTATTGTAGATTTACCTCATTAATAACTTCTTTCATATTTGTTATATCATGTTTATAAGATTTCAAGGCAAAAGTACTGCTATTATACATTACTTTATAAACTTTTCCAGAACCACCTGAACCAATTTTTTGAGTATTTTTAAAGCTATTATATTTATAAAAATTGATGTGTTCATTCTGAATTGCCTCATTGAGCCATTCTACCCAATTATCCTTAGGTTTATCAATAGTTGCTTTGTTTTCATTAATTATTCCATTGCTTGGTTCATCCTTTGCTTTTTTGCTATCTTGACTAATTGGAGGTGATGGTGATTTGGATAATTGTAGTGAAGGAATTTCTTGTAGTTCTTCAATTAGATGATGTTTTAATAAAGTTTATTTTGTGTTATAAAAGTTAGTTTATAATATAATACTTACTTGCTGGTTATTATTAAGAAGTAAAAATAAATTTATTTAATTAGATGATGTTTTAATAAAGTTTTTTTTGTGTTGTAAATGTTAATTTATAATACAATACTTACTAGCTAGTTATTATAAAGAAATAAAAAATAAAATTATTTAATTAGAATATTTTAATAAAGTTTGTTTAGTGTTGTAAAAGTTAATTTATAATATAATACTTACACTCTAAGAAATAAAAAATAAAATTATTTAATTAAATAATGTTTTAATAATGCTTTTTTTGTGTTGTAAAAGTTAATTTATAATATAATACTAACTATAATCATTACAATTATCATCATCATCCTCTCCTTCAAAAGCAGATGTTAAAATATCTTTTTCCATTGCACTGGTAATTTGAAAATAAGAATAATCTGTTTTCAAATTAATATCATTTGCTTCCGAATTAGAATTATTTTGAAGCATTCAATGATAAATTTTCAATATTTTTCATTAAATTACCCTCTGATAAAGTAATCTTTTGTTTTGTGTTGTCAATGTCAATTGTTCCTAAAATCTTTGCTACTTGAGACATTTGTGGACGTTTTTCAGGATTGTCTTGCCAACATGCTATTGTATAAATAAATAAAAAATTAACTCACTAAAAAAAATTTTAAATATAATTTTACATAGTAATTAATTTTACCTTTGTACAGTTCAATATAAGATTCAGGTGTTCCTGGAATTTCATTTTCTCGAACTCCATTAATAATTTGGTAAATAAGTGTAAAACTAGCAGCAAAATTTTGAAATGGTGTTCTTCCACTAGATATTTGCCACATTAGGGCACCTATGCTATATACATCAGATGCTTTTGTTCGTGAATAATTTGTAGGATCATGTAAAAATCTAGGATCAGAGTACTTTACAAAGCCAAAGTTTTTGAAAAATGGTATTGTAATATCAACAACTGACTTTGATAATCCAAAACCACCAAGTTTTATGTCATCATTATGAATAAAAATATTGTCTGGATGCTTTTATAAAATAATAATAAATTGTTTACCATTTTGAAAAGAAAAAAATGTAATTTAAAAAAAAGGATTTACCAAATCTCTATGAATTATATCATTATTATGAAGACACAATACAGCACTTGAGATTTGTTTAGCAAATTTTAATTTTAGATTCCAATCCATTTTATTAAAATTTTTTGATAAATAATGAGATAGGGTGCCATTATTTGCATACCCCATGACTAGCATATATGTATCTAAAACAAAAATTTTTAATAAAAATTAAAACCCCTTCACTTGAGATAAAAATACTTTTTTACCATTTTTGGTTATGCCATAGAAACTTATAATATTCTCATGCATTTCAACTTGTTGATGTAGTTGAAGCTAAAAAGAAACATTAAGATTAATGAATTCATATTCAATAAAGATAATTGAAGGTAAAAATAGACCATTACCTCATTTACAATATGTTTAAATGTTTGTTCAGAAGCGAGGCCTTTTGTCAACGATTTCAAAACCATGTGTTTCCCATAGATAGTATATGCTTTATAAACCATTCCAAATGAACTACTCCCAATTTTATCAACATCACTAAATACTTCATATTGATGAAATGTCAAATGTCTATTTTCAATTGCTTTATCAATCCACTCGCTCATTTTTTTAAAACGAATTGGTGTAACGAGTTTAATTTAACTTCATTACACCAGGGATGATGATTTTCTGCGGTCCGTAATAAAAACAAATACTGTGGCGAAAGTGATAAAAGTGACGAAACAATTAAAATCGAAAGTGGTGAAGAAGAAAGCAGTGACGGTAATAATAATATTAAAGATGATATTAAATACATATTTTTGTATTTTTTTTTTAATATGAACATGAAATTTTGCAATTTCCCATAATCGACAATTAATCTGAAGTGTCTTTACGCAGTTCAAATATGCTTTATTTTAATGGTAGTTTAAATATATAGAATTTCTATTTTGTAATATTTTTTACAAATAATCATAAAAGCATAGAATAGTTTTTAATGTACCCATATTCCATCAGTCCATATTATCAATTTAAAAGACATTCAGGTGTCAATTAGGTTCTCTTTTATCATGTATAAAAGAAAAAGTGGACCAATTCCTTTCAGAAGCAAGCTGATGAAGTAGGAGCTGAAATTATAAATTCTGTTGGTTTAACCGAATGAATATAACTTGGTAAAAATTAAAAATTCACTTTTTTTTTTTTTAAATAGAATTATCTATGGGGGGGGGACATTGCATGATTCGAGAAAAAATCATGCACACGTCACGTCTCTAATTATGACCCAGATTGTTAATGTTATAGACCGCGAATAAATCGGAGAAAACCTCCAAATTTATCGCATTTTATTACACTAAACTATAGATTATTTTTCGAGATTTACTTTATTCATATATACATTAATATTATTATTCTGTGGCGCCAAAAGAATAATACCTTTTCATGAAAAAGGTTGATGACTAACAGTTTAATTAGCAGTTTTACAAATCTGCGTTTCCTACACAGAAATGTTTTTTTTTCATCGCAAATTAGGGTAAAGATTATCCATTAACAATCTTTTGTCACATCACATTTATGACTTGTTATTACAAGGTGACGATGCCTTGTATGACCTAGTAAATGACCTTTTAGATAAAATACTTTCTCACATTCTGGATAATCACACTTGAAGTTTTTTATTAATATCTTGTATGTTGTAGCAAGTTAACATTAAAACAAATATATTGTTGCATCTCACTTGAAATTTTTTACCATGGATTTTACTGTGTAGATAAAGATCCATTATTATTATTACTTTGATCACCATCTTTCTTCATCACCGGCCGATTTCATTATAAGCATCCGAGTTCCAATTTCCAATTTCACCACTACCATCTTCATCACTTATTTCAATTTTATTATCTTCATCTTTGTCATAAATTCGCTATCACAATCATAATTACCATTGTAATTGTTGTTGTTGTAATTATAATTATGAATTCTCGTTTATCAAAGGTTAATTTTTCTTGATCTTCACGGGAAAGTCAGCAATATTTTAAAGTATTTTTGCATTGCCTTGCATAACAATTTCTTAGTCCATGTGAATTTGACATAAATGAAAATCAAATTATGCTGGTGAAAATATAACGGAAAATCAATTTAGTTCCTCACTACGAAAATCCCTGATATAAATTCACGTGACACCACCATCTATTTTTGCGTAAAAAAAAAATAATCATAATAATCAGTTAAATCAGTTATTAAAGTTACTACTATTCATCAAAAACTTTCTTTAAAACACAACGTATAATATACCATAACAATGAATCCATCCAAAATCGGCTATTATTTTCATCACTTTCCTATTACAAAAACCTTGGTAAAGTATTTACTTTTATTTTATACGCTACCATTATTGAGTATTTTTGTGATTGGATATATATATCTTGGAAATTTTATTATATTAACAGCAACATCATCAGTTGAAATCCAACAACAACAACAACAACAACAACAACAATAATGGTGATAACAGTAGTAGTAATAAACGTGAAGCTGAAAATAAAGAAAACGCAAAGCCATGTTCTACTAGTAATAGTAGTAGTAATATTACATCAATTAATTTTTCCACTAGAAAAAACGAAGATGATAGAAAAGATTTAACAATCGAAGGATCACATTCATCTCTTACATCATCTTCTGAACCTTTGTCTTCTACTCCGAACGTTAGGTAATTTTCATTATTTCGGGTAGCAAATTCGATGAATGGATCAATTAATCTATTTACTCATTAGTGATTACGGATTAAAGATTTGGACATTAAAAAATTTTGATATTGGATGTGGACTTGGTAAAGGACATTATGGACGTGTTTATCTTGCAAGAGAGAAAACAAGCGGATATATTGTTGCATTGAAAGTGGTGTCTATATCGGAAATTATCAAAGCTAAAGCTGAAAAACAATTAAGAAGAGAGATTGAAATACAAAGTAATCTAAGGTTAGACAAGTAAATAAATACTTACTCGTGCGGATAATTAATTATTGATAATAAGTATGCCAATTTAACATGTTGATTATTATTATAGACACCCAAATGTTATACGTCTATATGGACATTTCTATGATGAAACACATGTATTTCTGATTCTTGAATACGCAGCTGAAGGTGAACTTTATAAGCATTTAAAAAAGTGTACCAAATTTACTGAAAAACGGGCGTCAAGGGTTTGTGCATTCTATTCAATCAATCAATTAACGTCTAAGTAAGATCCAAATAATTATTATAATTCAATCACCAATCAAAAATATCTATTAGTATATTGCTCAGATCGCAAGCGCTTTAGTTTATCTTCATCAAAAGCATATTATACATCGCGATATCAAGCCTGAAAATCTTTTGTTGGATTTTAATGATGAACTTAAAATAGCCGATTTTGGTTTGTCAGTACATTCACCTAGTCAAAGGTAAATAATAATAATATAATAAATATTATTATAATAGTATCTTCACTAATATTTATAACATCCATTACATTATCTAATAAGACGCACAACATTCTGTGGTACATTGGATTACCTTCCACCAGAAATGATCGAGTGTCGAGCACATAATTCAAAAATTGATTTGTGGTCTCTTGGAGTCTTGTGTTATGAATTATTGTCTGGCGCTGCACCATTTGTGGAAGAGGATTATTCTGCTACGTATAAAAGAATTAGAAAAGTTGATTTTAAAATGCCTCAACACATTTCGGAAAATGCTAAGCACTTGATCAGATCGGTAAACCTTTTTATCATTTGAAAAAATCAAATTATTCCTTTTCTATATCTTTATCCAAATATTTTATATAATTGCTCCACACATACACACGCATTAAAAAAAAATTTTAATTAAATTAAAGCTTCTTCAAAAAAATCCTGATAAACGATTACCTTTGGAAGAAGTCTTGAAGCACCCTTGGATCTTAAAGCATAAGAAACCAACCTGTTTCCAATAAGGATGATAGTATTAAAAATTGTTTTATTGATCTTGGTTTATATAATATATATATATATAAAAAAACTTATCATAAAAAATCTCGTCAGGATTTCTGTTCATCAAAAAATCATCACAGGAGAAAAATATTCTCTCATTGTATTCTTTCCTTATTTTTTTTTTAAAAAAAAAAGAATGCTTAACAATAATATTTTGAAGTAATTACCATTATCCGAAGTAATTTGTTTTTAAAAAAATATTTAAAAATACAAATTAAACAATTAAAATAATTTTGATGCAAACAATAATATACAATAATAATGACACAATCGATATTAAAAATTTTCCATTTTCAATTACAATGACATCTATTCCTTATTTGTAATTTTTTAATCATTTTGATGATCAAAATAAATAATTCAACATAGAAATAACAACAGCCAGAACAGTAATAATGACAACAAGGCAAACTTTATCAAATAATGACCATCCTCCCATTACACCATTAAAAAAAATGTTTGCTGCCTGTAGTGGAGCTTTATTAACTTCACTTTTTAGTAAGTGAAAAAAAAAAAATTATGTAACAAACATAATGAATATGTTAATTTAACAATGAAATTATTATTATAGCAACACCATTTGACGTAGTAAAGGTTAGATTACAAGCACAAAGCATTTCCGATAATAGTCATAATAATGTAAAAACTTCATCATTTTCATCAAACATCAAATCATCACCATCACCACCATCATCACACTCTTTAATATCATGTTGTCACCATCATCATCATCACCATAATAATAATAATAATAATCAAGTATTTTTTTCAAAAAGAAACATAAATCAAGAAATTTTTTGTCGATTAGATCCAAATCTATCTCCTAATCAAGCATCATCATCATCATTATGTTGTACTGCTCCAAATGCATCGATTACCCTCCCATCATCATCTACTCAGAAAGTAATAGTAACAAGAAATCATCATCATCAATTTAATGGAATACTGGTAAGCAAACATTCATTCAATGACTGGCTTTATTATTATTAATTAATTAACATGATTTAATTTTTTTGGAATTAGGATGGTATAATTAAAATGGTTCGTTATGAAGGAGTCACATCTTTATGGCGAGGTCTTTCACCATCATTGTTAGTTGGTTAATTATTTAGAATGAATGAATGGATATTTTATTAAATTATACTTACTATAAAAAAAAAAAATCCAATTCATTCATTTATATTTTTATTTATACTTTTGCACATAAAATTGCCATCTAAAATTAGAGTAATGTCTGTACCAGTGACGGTTATATACTTTGTGGGTTATGATCATTTAAGAGACAAATTATGGACTACATGGAAAGGAAAATATTCTGAAACTTATTCACCATTAATTGCTGGAGCTACTGCAAGAAGTAAAATTTATTATTCTTTTCAGGGAAGGGGTAGATTTTTGAGTGAATCTTTTTTTAACAAATATATATTCTTATCATGATAAATAGCAATTGCAGCTTCAATAGTATCACCATTAGAATTGTTTCGAACAAGATTACAAGGCCCTGAAGGTATAAATGGACTGAGAAGAGTATTGAATGGTGTACAAACCATGGTTATCAATAATGGTATTTCATCATTATGGCGTGGTCTAGAACCCACATTATGGAGAGATGTGCCGTTTTCTGGTAAAGATGAATAAAATTTTTGTTGAAACAAATTAATTTTATGATTTTAAATGAATTGGACAAAAAATAAATTTATTTGTTTTATTTTTTTAGCAATTTACTGGACTGGTTATGAATTTATGAAAAAAAATTTAAAAAATTATTTACATGAAAACAATCTTGATGAAAAAGTTAATAACTTTGAAGTGTCTTTTTTGTGTGGTGCTACTTCTGGTGGTGTAAGTAAAAATCATTTCTCGGATATATATATATCTATTTGTTTATGTAAATATACACTCATATATATATATATATTCTGCTGGTTGTTAGTTTGCAGCATTGGTAACCACACCTTTCGATGTAGCCAAAACAAGACGACAAGTTGCAACAAATCAAAGTAAGTTTTCGTTTTATTAGAATTAATTATTTAATAAAATTTGAAATCTTTGATTCTTCTCGAGTGTAAAAACTAAAACAAGGTCATTATTATTGATTAATATATTATAAAGTGAAAAGTAAGAATAGTATGTTAAATGTGATGGAGATGATTGTTAAAGATGGAGGATACAAAGAATTATTTAGAGGTAGGTTACCTTACCGTATACTTTTTCTCTTTTTGATCAGTGTACCAATTGAATCACACTAACATTACATGTTTGTTTATTTAGGTGGTACACTTCGAATATCAAGAGTAGCAGTTAGTTGTGCACTTATGATTTCAACGTATGAAACATTGATAAAGATGATCTGAAAAATTTTCAAAATCTCTTTGAGCGTAACTTCCCTTTTTCTTTGTTGATAAAAAAAGTATAATGATTGTGTGTATGACACATTTAACTTAATTAGTTTTGCCCAAAATTATACTCGATCGTTGTACAATTCTTACTATTATTACGTATTTTATATTAATTGTTGTTCATGTGATTAAAAAAAAAATGTAAATAAATATATATTTTGACAATTCATTTAAAAAAAAATTTTTTTATCATTGTAAGGTTAAACCTTTAACTGATATATCAAAAAGAGAGAGTTATCTTTTTCTAAAACAATTTTCATTCAGTTTTTTTTTTGTAGTAGTAGTAATGTCGGATAGATATACTCGTTTAGAAAAGTTGGGCGAAGGAACTTATGCAACAGTTTATAAAGGAAGAGATCGCAGTACAAATGAAACAGTTGCTTTAAAAGAAATACATTTGGACACTGAAGAAGGAGCGCCCTCAACAGCCATTCGTGAAATCTCTTTAATGAAAGAGTTGAGACATCCAAACATTGTAAAGTTACTAGACGTAATTCACACAGAAAATAAGTTGATGCTTGTTTTTGAATACATGCATCAAGATCTTAAAAAGTACATGGATACCAATGGAATAAACGGTGCATTAGATCCACTGACAATCAAACGATTCATGTATCAAATGTTATTAGGGATAGATTTTTGTCATGACAATAGAGTTTTACATCGTGATCTAAAGCCTCAAAATCTTTTAATAAAAGATAACGGAAACCTTTTAAAATTAGCAGATTTTGGTCTGGCAAGAGCTTTCGGGATCCCAGTCACAACCTTTTCAAATGAAGTTGTAACGCTATGGTATCGTTCACCAGATGTGTTATTGGGTTCGCGCACCTATTCCACTTCAATTGATATATGGTCAGCTGGTTGCATCATGGCAGAAATGTATACCGGCAGACCTTTATTCCCAGGAACAACAAACGACGATCAATTGGTAAAGATTTTTAAGACAATGGGCACACCACCAGAATCCATTTGGAAAGGTTTGGTAACTTATCCTGAACATTTGAAACGGTATCCTACTTATCCACAACAAGATTTGAAACAAATGATCCCGATAATTGATAATATTGGTTTAGATTTGTTAAGCAAAATGTTGGTTTATGATCCTGATCAAAGAATCACAGCAAAAAGTGCATTAAGTCATGTTTATTTTAGTGATATTATTCTCAATCAAAATTTACAGCAACAACAACAACAACAACAACAGCAACAGCAACAGCAGCAACAGCAGCAACAACAACAACAAACATCCCAGCCTTCTTCTCATCCATCTCTGCATAATAATAATCATAATCAATTTGTCAATGTCAATATGAACAATATGAACAATCTACATAACCTAAACAATCTTAATAATCTAAACAATATTAACAATCTAAACAATATCAACAATCTAAACAATATCAACAACCTAAACACAGTCAATCATCTGATACCTCATCATCGCCATCACCACCATCATCACCATCAAGCAATCCCTAACAATAATAATATGAGATTCACAAATCCAAATAGTGTTGGTGGTGGTATGCCTTTACAACTAAATACGATGCCACAACAACACACACATGGTGTAAATATGCAGTCAATCAATCTACAAAATCTACAATTACTATCATCAGCAGCAGGTGTTAACATGTCAACAGCAATGCCTCTACAACAAAATGTTATTCAACCAATCATGACTGTACCTCCACCTCAAATCATTCCAGCTCCACCAATGGCTCCAGTACAACAATTGTTAAATCTTCCATCTAATAATGCATCAATTCCTCCACCTTTGAGACATCAGACAAGAAGGCAAACATATGACTCGTATGGTATTGATTAATTAATCAACCATATTATACATACTTGCACACACATACACACATATATTAACGAACTATTAAAAATATTATTATTTGCATAAAAAATATTTTTATATTTATTAAATTTGTTAGAAAAATAAATTTTAATGAAAATTATTTCATACCAAATTGTATTCTTTTGATATCGAACAATCAATCTACATATCCTTTACTGATACACCTATTATTTATTTATTTTTACAACATGAGTTTTAATAAACTCTTTGCACATCTTTAACCCAATTTTAGAGCATATTTGCTCCATTCATAACAATTGCATACTGTGAAAATTTGGTTATATACACCAAAAATTTAAATTCTCTTGTTGCATATTTGGAATCTGCGTCAATTTGAAATTCACGCGCGTGAAATTCAAATTAGCCAATCAGAATTTTGTATTCAAACACCCCACCCAAAATTTAATCATTTATAATTTTATAATTATAATTTTATAATTATATAGTAAATTTCAAATTGACACAAATTTGATTTTCACGCACAATATACATAATAATAAAATGATAATTAAATCAATTCCTATGTATGTAGATTTGAAAAGCAAAGACCTTCTCCCTACCATTCAATTAATTAATTGTAGCATAGTTCTCCTAGCCTATGTTTTTTTGTAAATTATGGGAAAAATAAATGAATCCAAAATAGCATAATTTTTACTTTTAAAATTTCTTCAATTTCAAAAATCCCCCGTCTTTATATTATTGCCATATATTTATCAATATCTTTGAAATCTTTGAACCTCCAACTTTCCTAACCATTTAAAGTTTAAATCGCCAAACAGGATAAAAAAACCTTCAATTTACGCCGTTAAAATTGCCAAATTACCCAAAAGATATATTGGATAGTCTGATTTGCAAACCAGGTTTGCCAAAAATGTCAAGTGGCGCGTTAACTTCGATTTCGTTTTATTGATTTAAATTTTTCCCTGGAAGAAAAATGTCAGCTTTGTAGTTAAAATTACATAATAATAGTAATGCTAAACACATTGTCGTGTTTATTCGATGTCATGTGAGTCCTACAGTAACTTTAGAATTCTTCAATAACTTTATTAAATAGATTATTTTTACCCAATTCATTTGTTCTAATTCGATTTAGTTTGATATAAAGGGCTGCGAGGATGTGATGATTATAGTAACAATCGCAATATTAATTACTGTGAGAATAATTTTAATCTTTAAAATATTCCCACGCTTTAAAATCCATATTCATTGATTCGGTTTTAAACTTTTTATGAAATACACAAAAACGTATATGACAAATAAGATTTGATTTTTAGAATTGGTAAATGCCAACCCACAATTTTTAACCATCATCACACGTATCACATCACTATAAAATGTCATCATCCATATACAAGAAATTTAAGTCACAGTTAAATTTCCTATTTCATAAAAAAAGGAATTTCTTTGCTTAAAAATCCCAGCGGAATGTCTTTGGCCTCAAATTCTGAGTCTTACGGTCAAAAAGATTCACTCATTCCGTCTATCCGCAATATTTTAAAGGTATGTCATACATATATTTAAAAAGGTATTATTTTGTACTACAAATCAATTTTAATTTTTTTTTTTTGTTAGGATTACTCCTTTGAAAGCATATTCAAAGAATTTCTTCAAAATGGTCAGAATTCATTTTATATAATATTTTTATGATCTTGCATTTTTTTTTTGATAATATTTTATAATGTTCGTCTCCGATAAACAATAGCTGATGATGCTGGGGCCACACGTTTTCATATAATTATCGATGGTCGCTCACACCCTACGAACTCCTTACTTTGTGATAAAATGAAGCCATGGCAAGGGCCTGCTATTTTAATTTTTAATGATGCAAAATTCAAAGAATCTGATTTTGAGTCCCTCATGCAATTACGCGTTGGCGGAAAACAAAACGACGATAAAATGATTGGAAAACACGGAGTGGGATTTAATTCGTGCTACCACTTTACCGATGTTCCCAGTTTCATCAGCGGTGATTTTATCGCGTTTCTGGATCCACAGGAAAAATTCTTGCCATTGAAAAACGACCTTTCTCAACGTGGTATCATTTGCCCTCTTCCTAAAAAAGGCATCCGTGGACATTCTGAAAAGGACCAATTGGTCCCTTTTGAAAACATTGAAGGCATCGATTTTCGATCAACTTTTGAAGGAACACTCTTCCGAATACCGCTTAGGCAAAACGATCAACCAAGTGAAATATCTGATGATGTATTTTCTATTACAGAAGTTCTTGATTTGTTTAATGGGATCAAATCAAACATCTCCTCCCAATTATTATTCCTCCGAAATATCGAAAAAATTCAAGTGTCACATGTCAAAGAAACTATGCTATTTCAAATGATTCCTCTCTGGCAGGCAACTATAAATGAATTAGGCGATAATACACAAAATAAAAGAAATTATATCGCTATTGACGAACATCGAATTTTTCAGATAGAAATCGAGCTGATTGATGATGATTCAAACATGCAAATGGAACAATGGATGGTTGCGACTGGTGCTCAAAATAAACCAGAAGACTCAGTACTGAAGAAATACGCAGAACGACATCGATTACGTGTGATAGGAGGAGTGGCTATTTTGCTTAAAAGGCTCAAGAATGACCAAGAAGAAAGCAATGACTTCGATGGAAGAATATTTTCGTTTTTTCCATTACCTGATACAACATATTTACCCGTACATCTTAATGGAACCTGGGCTCAAGGTTCAGATCGTGGAAGATTATTACTAGAAAAAGATGATCTGCCAGATTTAGATCATCAGAAACTCGGTTGGAATAGGCACATTTTGCTCGAGTTCCTTCCGGAACTTCATTTCATGCTTTTAAAAGAAATTAGCGAACTAGAAGAAGTTGATTTTAGAGACAGATGCATTTCAAAATTGTGGCCATTTCCATCTACCACGCGAAAATACCCAAAATACATTATTGGTTATAGTTGCAAAGTATTACAGCTTATATCACAATGCGAAAGCATTGCCAAATTAATCACATCTGACAATGATTATTTCGATAGTAACAATGTCCTTCAATTATTACAAAATAATTGGGATGAGATAGGTTACTATTTTTTTAAATTTCTCAAAAAATTTTTTTTGGTAATTAAATCGATTTCATATACATACATATAATTTTATTTTAATGTAGGAGTAATGGTAAAGCAAGATTTTGATTTCAAATCAATGATCTCATCGCTGCCTGTATGGCCAGTACGATTGAATCATTCAATGCTAGGCTTCACAAGAAGTTTAGTACCAGCTTCAATGGGTTACATTTTGCCAAAAGACATTCAACCGTATCGAACAAATGACTCAAAATTTTGTTTAGAGGTTTCTAACAGTGATCGTGAGATTTTGAAAGATCTTGATATTCACGAGCGAGACATTTGTTCATATATATCTGAGGACATTGAATTTCCTGAAGAAAGTGATGAATACTATGTGGAGTTTCTGAACAGTGCACTCTCATCTGTAAGTAATAAAAGTGATGATATTACTCAAATATTAAAGGAAAAGGTTTGTTTTCCAGTTGAATTTACAAATGACTTAAAGCGGATTACGGACCTATACAACTATGAAAACACTGTTTTTCGGACCGTATTCGGAAATTCAAATGTTTTCCTTAATACAAAACTTTTAGCTCATGCAACTAAGTTATCAAAGTTTGGATTCAATAATGATATTAATCAGGAGTCTTTTATTAAATGTGCTTTGAAAGTTCAAGAGTTGCAAGATGATCCACCATATGATATACGCAATCGTGGATTCGTTTTGGTTGAATATTTTTATGAAAGTTTCACAAAGAGTTATGAGATTGCTTCGATTTCATTTTTTTCGATTGAAGACCGTTACTTCGAAAATACAATACTTCCTCAATATAAAGAAATTGCTTCGATTCCATTTTTTCCGATTGAAAAACGTTTGGGTGAATGCTACAACGAGTATTATAATTATCATCAAGTTTTGGATTGCTTCGAAAATATAATACTTCCTCAATATAAAGAAATTGCATGGAGTCAAAAACCTTTAATTGCAGTAGACGTCGTACCACCTCACATTGTACTTATAAGTGATCCATCATTTGGTGAACCAGATATTCCCACTGTATTAAATCATCTCCGTTTTTTGCGCAACACACTTATAAATGATACTGAATGGAAGGAAAGGTGGAAAGACACATTTACGTCTAATGTTTTTGAGGTTTATAAATGGCTTGACAAAAAAAGTTTAGATACAAGTATCTGCTTAAAGGAATATATTGAGTCAAATGAAGCATTGTTCTTGAATTTTAATAAAAACGAGGATGATCCATTCGACACTGAAAATTGGGCTTCTAAAACAGGTTTAGTTTTGAACTGTGTAAAAGACGAGGAAAAATATGTAAATCCTCGTCTTGCTAAATACCACTCAATGCTAAGAAGTGCCGGTATCCAAGAAATAAAATTACCAGATTACAAAATAAATGTCACGGAATATGGTTTTGGAAAAAACATATTAGAATTATTATCAAGTCAGGTGAACAATTTGCATGATGTCATTTTTATTGTAAACGGAGAAAAAATATGGGCAAATCAGTATATACTTGCTGCAAATTCCAAAGCTTTTCGTAGAGAATTCACTTCAAGAACCTTTGCAAGCTCAAGCAAAGCTAATCCAGCTACAATCATCATTGATAATTATAATCCCAACTCAGTTCGCATTTTGTTGCATTACTTGTATAATCAGAATATCGATACTGCAATTCAGACGCATAAAAGTTTAGACCAATCAGAGTTGGAATTATATAAGGACTTAGCTAAGTTAGCAAATAAGTACGAGCTAACTCATTTAAAAGAGCTTATGGAATTAAAGCTCTCTCGATTAGTTAATCGATTAAACATGGAAGAGATGGAAAGATTAGCAGCGAGAGATTTAAAGGCAAATCAACTCAAAGAATATTGTAGTAAATTTATTCACAATAATAAAAATATATGAAAATAAAATAATCTTTATTAAAAGATGTAACTTAAAATTTATTTATAAACGTTTATAAAAATTTTGGGCGTTTGTTAATTGTTAAAATTATTATTTTTTGTTTTTATGTGTTAAACAAATTGCATGCTTTATATTCCTGGTAAAAAGGTCTGCAATCTAGGAAAATACTCATATGTTCTACTCTTAATTTTTTGGAAAGCATGAATTAAAAATAAAAAAGTGTGCCGCATTGTTTTCACTGTTTAAAAATTAATTCATTTTAAATATTTTGCAACTATGAAGCGGTCCCGTTTACTTCGTCGAAAATTATTTCGTCGACAATCATTTCGTCGACATCCATTTCGTCGAAAGTTCATTTCGTCGAAAATTATTTCGTCGACAATCACTTCGTCGACAATTACTTCATCGACAATCATTTCGTCTAAAGTTCATTTTGTCGAAAGTTCATTTTGTCGGCTTATGTATCGTACTAATGATAAATGAGGTGATGATAGTGATGGCAACAATATTGACATTGAATATTTTAGT